AAAAAGATCAGGATAACATTTCGAGTTCGTATTGTATTATATTCCTATTAAAACAAATATGGTTTAGTAGAACCATGGTTCATTATAACTAGACTACGGATTTTTATGAGGAATGACATTTTCTGAAGTAATTTATAAAGACTGGAGCGTATGTAGAAATTTCTTTCTTCTATTAATCTTTTATGTCCTGACGATATTTCACTTATTTTACAATGAAATTGTGCCATCACTCAGACACACCACACCCAACTATTTGAGTGAAAAAAAATAAGAAAACTATATTTGCACAGTTTTTAAGTATCTAGGATAATATCGGACGGGCAATGAAAGTGTTCCGTTCATTCGATTTCCAGAAGCGCCCGCGGTTTCATGCACATGCGTATCCAGAAGAACGAGGAGCTGAACGCGTACATCCTGGGCCAGTTCAGCAAGCCGTTCGACAGTATACCGGAAATGGTCCGTCACTTCAGCGTGAACCGTCTTCCGATACGGGGCGCGGAGCACATGTGTCTTCTCCATCCGGTCATAGCTCAGCTTTTGTAGCGCATCTATCGTAGCGCTGTTTAAGGCGCTTCTATACTTTTTGATATATCGTTTATCCGAGGAAGAACAAGTGTCGAGACCGGAAGGGAGGGATACATATAACAGGCGGAAACATTTCGCTGGTCGCTATGAGATTCGGTGATATTCATCCCCGAAAAAGAAAGAAAAAAAAACGCAGAATCCGTAATCCCTGTGCGTGTGTGGTTGCGTGTGTATGTATGTACAAAATAACGAATACTCTACAGAATGTCTCTAAGGGCATCGAGCAATTAACGATCGTACTTCCAGAAACACTATTTCCATTTCTTTCCGTCTCGCGGTTTTTACGAGACCCGTTTTGCGACAAACGAAAATGAAAAAAAAAAGAAAAAAACATTCCGAGCTTCCGAGATGATAGACGACACGCCGGAAAAAACATACGTAGTGTCGACAATTGGAACTATATATATATATACTATATTCAATGGGAATAACACAGTACAAATCAGCGAGGAGTTTCCGGTAGGCTTTTAACGAGCGACCTCGTGATTAATCGTATTCCATCGCGTAATCCTTTCACGGAAGTTAGATCGATGTCCTGTGCATCGAATAGAGCTTTCTTAGTCACCAAGGGAAAACGATCGGTCTATAAAGTACTGATTCACAGACGCTCGAGCGATTTTCAAACGACAGAGATAGGTTGGGAGGACGCAAAAGAAAAACGTTCAGGGATGCTGTGGTGTCGTCTTCCCACAGGAAAATTCAAACGGGGAATCGTTGCTGCTCCAGGATTCCATTCATCCGACTCGATCGGCCGACAGAGAGTGGTTTCTACGAAGAATAGAATCGTCGCCAGCAATCAAGTCGAAAAACAAAATGAAAATTCTGGAACAATTTGTATGAATTAATCGAAAATTCGGGATTCGCGGAAGAACGTTCACGAATTTAGGCGTACTGGTGCGAGATCCTGGCAATTGTGAAAGGATCGGAGGATGCGTCGTAAGAGCTTTAGAAAATGGTTGTTCCTTATACCCACAAGGCCCGAGGGCAATGGGAGTTTCACGTGAGAAACTATTGACTGGGATCAGAGTCTGTTTGTCTTGCAAGCTAACGAGGTGTGTTGTGGGGTGTAATACGTACTTAGATTTAAATACGTGGGTGGTCTCCGAGTGGACCTCCACGAGGAAGACATAGAGAGCTGGAAGCCAAAGAAACGAAGCTAAGTCGTGGTTTTCGTTCGTGCGAGGAGGATGCTGATAAAACGAACGAAACGCAGTGGCGTTTACCACTTGACAATGCCAAAAGAAAAATAATAATAAAACGTTTACAATGCTAATCGTAATCTTTTAGTGTCAGGGTTTAAGTTTGGTCGTGGTCGTTCGATAAACGTCGTTTTCGGCTTGAACCGATACACGTCGAGATCGAACGGTTACATTTTTACGTTTAACCTCGCGTAAGTGGAGGTGGGGGAGTCGGTGGAATTCAATGCTTATTCGTCCATGGCTGACCCGTCTGATGGTGGACGGAAACCGAGGAGGTGTCGAATGCTATGGGAGAGGGTACGATCTATGGATCGACCGATCTCCTATCATCGATGGCTCGGTCACGACACGAGTCATCCGTCCGACGAGTCTCTTATTTTTCGGAGAAGAGGGGCAACCGATACATATTTTTTCATGTGATATCAATTTGTTACAGAGAAATTAGCCTAGTTTCCACCTGTGATCTGTTACTTAGTTCCCTTTATTGCCGTGTCTGTTGCTCGCTGTGTGCAATATTCTCGTACGGTACGATTATGGTAACGATAATAATATAATGACTAGTAATAATGGTAACTATTAAGCTCGGTATATCCAGAGATCAGGGGGCGGGAGGGGGGGTGGGTAGCAACGAGACGCGGCCAGCCGCGACACGTGAGAGTACGTCCGTGGTGTTACAATAATTAATTTCGCGGTAAGGATTTCAAATTCGCCAGTTAGTTGCGAGTGAACCCTTGTTTTTGTTTGTTGGCCACTGACACTGGCGACGCATAAACGATGATTTTAGTTGCGAGTTTGCGTAGAGAACCTTAGGACCCACTGGTAGCGAGTGCTGCGTTAAAAAAAGTAGAATTTTGGTCTACTTTTTTCTTAGACGTTATTGAAGGGTGTACTGGGCGAAAGCGTGTATGTTTAAGTGTTGTTCAGGACCATGTCCCGACCATGAGTCTTAAAAATACGAAATTCACCTTTCCTTAATCAGTTTTCCTTTGTCCTTTGGCAAAACAACATTCGAACTTTAGTCTCTTTAAATTTTTGTTACGACAAGAAAAGAAATGAACAAGTAAATATCACTTTCTCGATGTTTATAAATTGTTCAGAATTTCTATACACATGAAAAGAACAATATGGATTAAGGGATTGTTTTGTGGACTCGTGTGTGACAAATGTGGGAACTTTTTGCCCTGAGTTTGTGATATATCAAACTTTATACTACTTTCCGAAATATACATTGTGACAGTCGCGTTCACTTTTGCTCAGTACCTTTTTATTTGTTACGAGTTTTTGCTGCAACGTGATCTGGATTAGCGTAATTGGGAATGAACGTTAAACCGAGAAGAGAGTACTATTTTTATTGTATAAAGTAACCCCATCTCATCTTAATGTCATACGAAGAAATGGCACCCGAGGTCCATAGGAAAAAATCATTGCGCTAATCCAGTTCTTGCAGTTATCAACTTTCAATGGGGATGATTTTAATGCTCGCAATACTAGTCATAACATTATTATATACTTATTTTACAGCTTCGATTACGAACGATTTTCCGTTTAGTATTCCAGCGCTCGCTACCGTTCTCGTTCAGTTAGTTTCACACTGTCATTGCACAGAACACAACACATACACACACACACACACACACACACTCATACGAGCATACACGTTGTACTTTAAGCTGCCAGTATTATTAACTGTAATCAATAATGCATATCCATGTTAATGTTTAAGACATTATATTGTCTCCCTCCTAACGAATGATTATAAAGAAAAAAAAATATAATCTATATACATATATATATATAAAAATATAAATATATATTTATTTGACATTCTATTTATTGCAATTTTGTCGTTAAGCCAAATGGATCTTACGCGATGGTTTCCGTGTACACTCTGTTGATTTCACCCGTAAGATCGTAGCGTGGTAAAACCCAAAAAATAAAAAAGAATTCATGATAATCTCCTAGGTATTTAGCGGAATGTAGATTACACGGTATTTACCGAAACAAGCAACGGATAAAACACACACACAGAGAAAACGAGACCGAGGGCGGCCGTAAAATTATGTGGTAGAGACTAACTTGTAGATACTTCCTGTACCTTGAAATTTATATGACGTAGCATTTAGCTCCGACGCATACACGTGAATATATTATATATATATATATATTATTACCAGATATTACCGTATAGTCCTTTATATATAGGAGGTACCAACCGTGTGAGATCGGATATAAGATCGAGATATATGTACGAGCGAAATGTCCGATATTATACAATTACACGCTCGCTAGCGATGTGTAGGGTACACACCTCTTTATGTAAACGGATCTCGAACGGTGGTGATGTGCAATAACGAGGAGCGATCTAGTGCGGTCGCAGTACGTAGTGCGATACGGTATTTTTGTTTTAGCATGACAGACCGCCGATGTTCCAAATCGACTTCACTAGATAGTCTTGTGTACTCCGAAACTCCCTCTTAATAATAAAACATTTAATAAAAAGAACGACGTTATCGCCTGATTTCGTTGTACACCTCTCGTTCTCACTTTCTTGCATGTGTACAATATTAATTTTGGTAAATAGTTAGGATAGGGGAGGTAGCGCCGATGACCTTGGCCTGGGCTTATGTTGCCAAGAACACCCTCATCAGTGACCTCCAAAAGGTTTTAACCGTCGCTCGTTTTTTATTAAAAAGTTATATGCAAAAGTAGTTATTTTGAGTATTGAAGGGCTCCAATGACCTTGATCGTGACGTATGTTGTAAATGTCACCTTCCTGAGTGACCTTGAGAAAAGTTTAACAAACACATTTCACAATATAAAGGTGTATGGTTAACTCCATTAATTTAAAATTTATACATTTTGTCATATACGTTATTATAAAATTCTTGATAGAGCACACAGACATTTAGTTTAATTCCGAAAGGCTGTTTTAGTAGAATATATAAAGTTCGAAAAATAAATTCAATTTTGTTTTATTCGTCCATATCTACTTCGTCTTCTTCCGTCTCGTCGTATTGAATAGCTTGTTCCGAATATACTTGGGGTTGGTTCATCTCCTCTGATTCGTGTTCCTCCGGCGCTACATCCACAAACTGCAAATAATACAAGTAGAATTATTAATAATTTTTCTTTCTGTTTCTGTACGCTTATCCCTTTTGAGTCATTCACCTCTTCCGGAACAGTTTCCTTAGTTGCGCCATTAAACATTCTTCTTGAGGTTCTTCTTTCTAAACAGACGATAATTAGAACATTAAAATGTTTAATATTTAACTTTCAAACCCTTACATTAGTATTTACATATAAATTGTACGCTTTATTTTGCAATTTTTCGATTAATCTCTGTTGAAATAAAATTATTGTTGGTAAGTTAAAATGTTGAGAATATGAATCACAACAGAGCCGTGGATTGCGTGAGGAGGTGACTAATTGCGAGGGAGAATATAGCCGGGAAAATAATTAAGAGACGGGATATTGAAGTCACTTACTTGAGGTAATCGAGGGTTGTTTCTCAGGACTCTTTCGAGGCTGAGGGCTAATCAACGATGATCGTTCCTAAAATAATTACACGTAGTAAATTTCTAATTACCGAAACTGAAATTATATCCTGTACATGAGAGAACAAAAATTCATCCGACCGAGCATTACATTGGAAAACGAAATTTCTTACAGAAATAATTACCAAATGTTTGACTTCATCGCCGTGGTCTTGGCAATATCCGGGTCCACAAACATCGATTTTACCTGGCACTGGACGACCTCTGTACATCTTTCCATCTGTTCCTTTCACCATACCTTCTGTCAGCTGTACCACTTCAGGTCCCCACTGATTGATAAAGTGACCCATTCGCGTTACTCTCTGTTGAGGTGTCGTGACCGTGTGACTCCCGCCACAGTATCGATTGCACAGGTGATCTCTAAAGATTCATCAATTATTTACAATACGAAAATATTAATAAACGTCAAGTGAATATTCCGCGGCAAATAATAGACTTGTAACGTTTAACCACCTCGGAGTCTTTACGAATGTCTCTTGTCTCGCGGTCTTTTGCTTCTTCGCTTCCTCCTGCATAGCTGCCTCAAATTGAATCATATTTCTGCTGTGAGGTAATCGTCTGTGTTGTTTTCTGACTTGATCCAATTCGTAGGTGAGATACGGCTTCATACTCGTGTTGCATGGCAAAGGTTCCATTTTCAATTTGTTCGTGTCTTGCACCTTCATGACCACATTCTTGTCGCAGGATATGCACTGAACGTCCCTAAGTAATAGATAAAAACAAGTCGAATTGTACCAAAAAATTCTTGTCAACGAATAACAAGAAGAAAAGTTCTTCAATATTCTCCATCGATTATTAGGGACATAAAGGCTAACGAATGAATTTGTATGCTTCAGTTTCACCTGAGCAACTTCTTTGTTCCTGCGGCTTCAGCATCCTGTCGCATCTGAGCCACGCCCTTCAACTTATCTTGAAGAGCTTTCAGTCGATGACTCACGAAATCCTTCAACGGTGTCATTTCTATCTTGTCAACTTTTCCCTCGATCTCCCTCTGCACTTCGTCCAGTGCTTGCTGCCATATTGATTCCTGTTTTCCCAGTTTATTAATGGCGTCCTCGAGACCTTGAGCGAAGTCGTCGCAAGCGGCATCAAATTGGTCGTGTGAAACCTGAAAATAATTTATATTTTTTTTTTATTTTGCAATAAAAATTCGCCGTCTAATTATCATCTAGTGACGACCAAAACTTCACCGACCTTTCTGTGTATTGCCTGAGCATCAGCCTTCTCAGCGAGCGCGTCCTCGAGATCCTCTCTGTCAGCTTTTATCGTCTTCAGAAGTTCTATTTGTTCGAGTAAAGCCTGAACAAAATTGTAACATACATTTTATAGAATCTTGTTTCGTTAAACAAAGTTCTTAAATCGACAATCAGAGAACGAGCAAGGATGTACAGGGTGTTTCAGCTATCTTGATCACCTCAAATAATGATTTAAAAATACACTTTCTGAAAATTTTGAGGCACGGTGCTTTTTTATGGGTGGAGGTGTTTCAGAGATTTCAAGGTCACCTTGATTTTTTTTTTAACGGAATGACTTGTTTTTTTTGTACCACATATCGATAGAGTATCTAATTCTGAGTAAATATGAAATCTCATATGCCATCTAAAATCCACGGCTCAACATTTTCATAAAGTGTACCGTTAAGTCATTATTCGAGGTGATCAAGTTATCCGAGACACCCTGTATGTTGCTCACATTAAGATGCACTTCACGATTCTCCCTGTCATCGATCAAACGATCCGCGGTCTGGTTCAGTTTCTCCATATCTGTCTGGACACTTTGAATCTTCGAGACCAACTCATCAAGCTCAGCGTTACCGGTCACGCCAGCCATAGGCGTATTATCCATTTTCTCCTTCAAACACAACACATCTTTTTCCAACTTCACGACGCGCTGGTGGATATATTTCATGTCGTCCGTATGTACAATCTCTTCGACATCCACCGAGTCCCTTTGTATTTGTACTTTCAACGGTTTTTCTGGTCTCTTCGGCTCTGTTATTTCCTCAGGCACCGTCTCCACTTTACTCGGTGTTTCTTCAGTTACTTCGTCCTTTTGCTTCTTTGATTCTGATTGCGCCGTCGAATGTAGAGTGGACGGAGACGCTGTTGACAATTTTTATTTCAGAAGTACATGTTTTATTCTCTTGGGTACTCACAAGGGAAGGCACGGAAGTGTCCCCATCGGAAGTTTCATCAAAATCGGAGGGGCACACTTCCCTGCATTTCCTTGTAAGATGGAGGACTAAAAAGCAAAGATAAAACTGTCAAATGAGTTACCACGCAAGGTTTCGGTAACTTTGTCTTGCAAAGACTTTATGTCTTCTCGCATTGTTGAAACGTCCTTTTGCAATGTGGTTACGTCATCGTGCATTCCTTTTATGTCTAATCCGCCTAATAGATGGCTCAAAGAAACTCGCTGCTGCACTGGCTGCTCTTTTTCTTCCCCCGTCGGTTCTACCTCCTCGCCGCTCACATTTGCGATTACTTGCAAGTTCTTGACAACGTTCTCCATGTTATCAAGAACAGCCTCTAAGTTTGTTAATCTTTCCTCGAGCTGCGACGATTCTGGTGTGTCTGCGATGACTTTATCACCTTTGAACACATCTTGCACCATACTTGTCAGCTGGAAGTAGACGTTAATTAGTACCCATTTAATAAAAGACACTCTAACGTATATTCGTTGCATAAAGTATTCTATTTACAAAAGAAAACAAACGAAAACGAAGTCGATAAGTCATTGTACCTTTCAGTCCTGTCGAAGGTACTGAATAATATATTGAAACTTGTATGATTATTATGGTCTGTTGAATTTAACATTTTGCAAATCGAATTGACCATTTTCCAGATGAAATTCACCCTTTTCTAAATCAAAGTCAACCTTTTAAAATCAAATTCACCCTTTTGCAAATGAAATTCAACCTTTTACAAATCAAATTCACCCTTTTGCAAATCGTATTCTACCTTCTGCAATTTTCGAAATGAAAAGTAATGAAAAAATATTTCGAAAAATGCGTGGATTGAACAAATGGAGAAAGGAAGCTGTACCTTATCAATACCTTGCTCACTAGCGTCCAATCGTTTTGTGATATTAATGATATTCCAGACGTCGGTTAGGGGATCCGTCATTTTACCCTTTATACGCTGTATCAATTCTGGATTCGTTGTCAGTTCTTCTAGTGCATGAAAACGCTTCTGAAGTTCCTCCACCTATACATGGATACCACGAAACACAAGAAACCTGCGTATGTATTAAAATTTTCAGTTCCAAACATGTGAGCGATATTTTGTAATTATTGTTTGCATTAGTGAATGAAGTACTGTTTGTTTTACGAATTTTAGTTGAAATTTTGTGATTATGGTTTAGTATAGAAAAATGCGAATCAATATTGAGAAGCCAGTGACATATACATATATCCAAGATCCTTTCAAAATCCTTGGTAAAGTAAATGTACAGTAGAACCTCGATAATAGGAACACCGTTTAATCCGGCGCTCCATTATCCGAATGACTATACACGATAGAAACACGTTTCAAATGGATTTTCGTGTAAAACTTTGTACATATGTGAATATTGTATAGTAAATGGTAACTTTTAGGTTCACTAGTTTGTATAATCGAGATATTACTGTAACAAATTTCACAAGAAATACCGATGTTCTCATTGTTAGAAGTAATGAAATGAAAATATTCCTCACACTATGTTCAAGCCGTTTAAATCCCAATGCCGTAGGTATAACTCCGTTTACGATCGGTTCCACATACACCACAGTTTCAGGTTCGCCTTCGATTCCAGACTCTATCTGTTGTTTGCTCCCTTTCGTTTTCTTTAATTCAGCTTCTTCCCCTGGAAAATATATTTTTTCAAAATAACTTTCTCCCAATATACGATAGCTTATCGAAATTAACCGCCCAACAATCAAAGATCTTGAGAATTTCAAAAGGTTGAATTTGATTTGCAAAAAAAGAAAATTAAATTTGAAACAAGAAATTGAAAAACAAAGAATGAAATTTGGAGTGCAGAAACTATATAAGGTAATTGACAACGGTGAGAACCTTTTTCCTGTTCGCGTTGCGTCGCCGGGGCGCTCGCCGATTTCTGCGTTGAACCTTCTTTCTCGAATTCTGTGAAAACATTTTTTCTAAATGCTGATCCCTTCGCGACGTAAATAATTCATTGTAAAATCGTTACACCACCCGTTATTACGTCGACTTTCACGGTCGCAGACTCGGAAACACGGACAGGTTGCTTTGCATTCTTCGAACCGTTAATAATGTTATATTGTTGAAAGTAAAGGGACGGCCCCGGTTTTAGTGAGTTCACCATCGTCTGAAAATATTCGGAATTCGTATCACTCTTACAACGATGATTAAAATGTTATAACAATACATTATTTCAGATCTTTTGTAACTTTTATTACAATACGATATTAAAGAAATTAGTTAATTTATAAATGTAGGAAAGTCGGGTTCCACACATGAAACAAGACTGTGCTCTCTACGCATTCCGCTGAACGACTAACTCGCCGAAAACCGCGTCGCCTTCACCGTCCTCGCCGAACTACGTCTTTCCCGCGACAATGTATTGCGTTCCGGCAGCCACTACCGTTCCCACATAAATTTGTAAATTTTCAAAAGTTTGCCATATTTATCCATCGATCGAAAGAGGTATGCGTTTATCGTTAGTAGTTCTAGTGTTAAACAAATAATTAACTGAGACCTAGAAATATTTTGAGATGCTTTACCTTGATACGGTTCGCTTCGTCGCCCCGATATTCGACCTTCGTCGATTTCAAATCGATCTGTTGCAACAGTATATGAAGGAAATTGTGGAGAATATTCAAATTCACCGCTCCGACCTATACCCGGAAGGAAATCGACGTGCCTACCTTTAAAGTGTGTCTTATCGTTTTATAAAAATTTTTATAAAATCAGGCGGATAACAAGTTTCTGTACCTCCGGCGTTCCTAACGCAAGATCCAGCATTTGAGGCAAAGAAACCTGCAAACTGGTCACTTCTTTGGCCATAGTGGATGGCGATGCTTTCGCGCCTTTCGCCGACATCTTCGTCACTCACTCGACAATTTTCAAAAAGATAGTAAAAAAAACATAATAAGAATTCTCTATAGTTTTGAAGGTTATATTGTCATTCGAATATGTCATTCTACGTAAATAACATTCTTCGTTTGTTCACAGGTGAGGTTATAAGAATAGACCTAACATGCAATGTAATTTTCTGTCCCATGCTTCGAGGGCGTCAGAAGCCCCCTTACCATTTTAGTATAAGATATTGCGTGTATCTATGTATATGATTTGATGGGAATAAAAAGGGATAAATGTGACAGTCATGAAACATGAAATAGAAAAATATACATTTTTTCACTTAACTACAAGACAATTTATTCTAAATGCATCGTTAATGGACATTTTATTAATGTTACTTTTTACATGTTCTTGTTTTATTTGTTTTTATATCTTGCCTTACATTTGTATATTTGTAACAGATAAATTCAGAATAGATGTAGTTTCATAAATAGTTTATCAAATCTACCTTTTGGCCGGCGGCTTACAATTTCCCTTGCGGGAACGTCCTACCGTAATGAGCCATCTCGTGGCCGCGGGATTCCGGGAATCGGGTGACGTCACGACGTGCGAGCGAGAGCGGTAGAGCGAGCCGCGGTATCGGTGCTCTCCGTCGGTGTTGACGGGTGCCGAGGAATTTCGGTGGTCTATGGGAGGGAGGTGTGCGAGCGAGAGAGTACGGTAGAGCGTGCCGAGTATCGGTGCTCTCCGTCGATCCAACGCGCTAGTGAGTTGCG